CACGGCTGCATACTGCCCCCTAGTGGTGAGCTGCAGGACGCCAAAAGTGCACTTTGTTGTGCAAAAGTTTACACTGACTGAAGCCAAAAAAAAGTGAATGTGGAGAGAAAAGCTTCACACTCACACATCATTTCTGCAGTTTTATTAACTATTTAAAGTATTGAGAAAAAGAAAAAAACTGCAGAGATGATCAATGAAATACCTCACAGAGAAAAACTACTTGTATCTCACATGATTTTATTATTCTAGTTTTAAAAAGAAATCTTAAAATTACATCTTTTTTTCTTATTAAAATAAAAAAATTTTACTAAAAATTGTCAATGAATGCATGATGGAAGTTTAAAATGTTCGTATTAGTCTCATGGAAGACGACCTAAGTTTGATATTGACGTGAAATTTCCCAATTTAATAACTATTTCAAGTATTTACACCAAGAAAACACCGCACAGATTATCAAGGATCCTCCTGCAAACATGTTTTAAGACAAATTAAAATACTCAACCTGGAACAACAACTTGTGCCTGATAAGAGTTTTATTAATCTTGCTAAAAAAACACCGCACAGATTATCAAGGATCCTCCTGCAAACATGTTTTAAGACAAATTAAAATACTCAACCTGGAAAAACAACTTGTGCCTGACAAGAGTTTTATTAATCTTGCTAAAAAAAAAAAAAAAAAAGCAAAATCACATCTACTCCTTCTTTTTCATATAAAAAAAAAATCTATAAATATTCATATGAAATTGAATAACAGCTTGTATCTGACATGATTTTATTATTCTAGTTTTTAAAAATTACATCTACTCCTTCTGACTTATTTAAAAAATGCATATATTCTTCATTTAAAGACGTATTTACTGAAAATTGTCAATGTATGCATGACGGAAGTTTCAAATGTTCGTCTTACACGAAGATCTTACATGGAAGACGACCTAAGATTTGATGTTGGCGTGAAAGTTCCCCAGTTTTAATAATTATTTGAAATATTTACACAAAGAAAAAACTGCACAGATCATCAAGGATCCTCCTGCAAACACGTTTTGGGACAAGTTAAAATACTCAACCTGGAAAAACAACTTGTGCCTGACAAGAGTTTTATTAATCTTGCTTTAAATTTTTTTTTTTTTTAATTACATCTACTCCTTAAAAATTCCTATATTTTTTATTTAAAATGTATTTATTGGAGAATTGTTGAGGTATACGTGCTGGAATTCTTACGTTTTTGTATCTTGTCGTGTCAGAAGAGTTAAGATCTGATATTCACATGCAGTTTCTTCAGTTTTAATAACTTTTAATTTGAAGTATTTACACACACAAAAACTGCAGAGTATCAAAGATCCTCTGCAAGCATGTTTTAAGACACATTAACATTCATTCATACTTTGAAAAACAACTTGTTTTTATTATTCTTGTTAAAATTGCATCGTCTCCTCCTTCCTCAGCAAAAAAAATCTATAAAATTTTTTCAATGTAGGTGTGCTTAAAGGTTCCAGTTTTTGCATCTTGACGTGTAAGACGACCTACGATTTAATATTCACATGCAGTTTACCCAGTTTTATCAACTATCTGAAGTATTTACACATAAAAAAAAAACTGCACAGATGATCAAAGATCCTCCTGCAAACATGTTTTAAGACACATTTAAATGTTTTACTTTGAAAAACAATTTGCATCTGATGTGATTTTTATTCTTAAGTCTTAAAAAACCTTCTTCCTCATTAGAAACAAATGTAGAATTATTCACATATTTTTCTTGGGACACAAGATGTTTTCTACTTTGCTAAAAAAAAAAAAATCAAATGTATGTGGATATTTTAATATTTACATTTTTCAGACAGATGTTGCTGCTGTATTTCATTTTTGCGCTTTTATTTTATTTCATGACTAATTTTACGGACAGTCAGAGTTTATCCTGCTTAGTTTCAGATCCTCGTGCAGACATGTCATAAAACACATGGAAATGCTTCACAACTTGCGTCTGACATGATTTTTATTACTGTTATTAAAAAATCATCTTCCTCATTATACAAAAACCTACTATTTATACATCTTTCTTTTTAAAAATGCGTCTACAGGTCACGAGATGTTTTCTTCTTTAGTGAAAACTGTCAACGTATGCGTGCTTCAAGTCTCCACATCACACTGGCGTATAATTGGGCCTCTAATTGGCTTCTCGTCTCGCTGAAATGTCACCAAATCGTCTTTACGTACGACGCGTGGAGCTGACGGGTAAAAGAGATCGCGGAGAAAACTCTCCCCCCCCCTCCGACGCATAAAAGACGGAACGGCCTTCCAGTGTCAAACTCAGACGTCTTTGTGCGCGGCGAAGGTCAAACATTCGAATAATAAGTAAAAAGAAGTTTTTTTTTTCTCAGCGGTGCCAGACATAAAACGCTCAATGAAATCTCAGGGTTGTAGACGGAGAGCAGGAAACAAAAAAAAAAGCTCGAACGAGTCTGTCAGGAAGAAACAGATAGAAAGAAGTTAAATTAAAAGTATATTTAGAGGAGATTTGTCGTTTCTTTCCTGTTGAATGAACCAAAAACTCTTGAAGTTGTGCTGAAAAAGGTGAGAGAGCTTCTGAACCAGCTCTGATTTATTCATGAAGCCTGTCCCCTCATGTTGGGCGACGGGGTTTGGATCCCAGTCAGCTTCCAGTTGGGCCCAAAGCTGCTGGCTCAGGTTGAAGTGGAGGCTCAGTGCAGCCCGGTTCTCCTCCAAAAGAACTGGGGGAAGCCACCGTTTTTTCTGCTTGTGGTTGTGGAACCGGGGGGAAACAGGGAACACAGTTTTGCTTGAAACTACTCTTCCAGTTTCCATTTACGTCTTCAGAAAATGTCCCTCTGGACTCAGACGCCGTTTCAAAATTTGTCGATGCCGTCGGCAGAAAAGCCATTATTGGAAAGTTGCTGAAACCTGAATTACCTTCCACTGATGTCTGGATTGGCAATATTTATAACATCAGAGTGGAAGAGGGGGGAAAAAACGATGCTCTCCAGAAGGCTGCGACTGAAAACACAGAAAAGAGGCACATTCCTCACGATTTTAATGGTGAATTTATATTATCTGCCCTCCTGGATGGTTTTTTTTTTTGGTGTTTCTGTCACATTTTTTCTCACCATGAGCTCATTTTTCACAGCTATAGAAAGTCCTGCACCTCCATGGAAACAACACAACATTGTGGTTTGAAGTTGAAAGAATTCAAAAATGTAACGTGCTGTATATGTACGGTTTGAAAAAAATGCCATAAATCATGAAAGGGAAGCAAGAGAAATGAAAATCTGGAATCAACAATGTTGTTTCCAAAGTGCCCACAGGTGTCCACACACTATAGACGTTTACACATTTACATTTTTGTAAACCACATTTTTGTTTTTCGACTCTACAAATCAACTCCAGAGAGACGTTTCACCATGCCGAATGTATCCTCCCTCACAACTTGCTGCTGTTTTCCCATTGTCAAGTTGTGCTGCATGTATTTTACTGATCAATCAGGTTTATTTTGCTCTACAATGTGTCTAAATTGTTTTTACATACTTAAGTGAACCAACACGGCCTGCAGCTCAACCGATGAAGTTTTATAACGTGACTGCTGGTCGCAGCCGAGTCACTGAGCTTCCCAGTAGCAGCGAGGAGCGCAGAATTCTTTGTTTTTAACGCAATCCGGTTTGTTTTATGGCAAATTTTAAAAGGCACACATGTAGAATAAAGTCTTTTTTTCTTTAAGTTATTTTTTGGCCTTTTTGCCTTTACTATATAGGACAGTGAAGAGAGAGACAGGAAAGTGGGGGAGAAAAATGGGGGAAGGAGTGGCAGCAAAGGGCCATGAGTGGGATTCAAACCCATGGTTGCTGCATCGGGACCAAAGGTGAGCTATAGCGGCAGCCCAGAGTAAAGTCGTTTTGATTAAATATCTCAATTTCAGGTTTACATTTGGTTGCTTTTCCAATCAGAACGTCATGTCACATGGCTGTAAAGTTAGAAAAATCTTGCTCTACAAAAAAAATAAACAAATAAAACAACATGCTTGTGTGAGGGTTTTATTGCAGTTTAGCTTTTGCTGCTACATTTTTGTTTTAACGGCATGGACGTAACTTAGTCAGTATGTTGTTTTTCTTTTAAGCAAATAATCCTGTATGTTTTTTTTTTATCTGCACAAAGTAAATCAAGGTTTTATCTTTTATCACCTATATTATGACTGTCTTTAGTATTTTACTTTATGCTATATGCAGTCGTCCTCAGATTTATTCATACGGTTCCATTAAAGAAAAGGTAAAGTTCACAGCAGTCACTAAAATAACTAGAAACTGAAAAAAGAGATAATAAATACAAATTTGCTAAATTATATTTTGGTGAAATAACTCATTGCTTTTGAATTGTGGGCAAAAAGAATAATAATTTTTAAAATGAGCAGTGGTCCAGAATACCTGTCAACAGGTGCAGAAGTCTGACTGAGAGTTACAGGAAACACCTGATGGCAGTGATTGACTCAAAGGGTTGTTCAACTAAATGTTACTTTACGGGTCCCATCTTTTTTTTTTCTTTTTTTTAAATAATATTTCTGTTAAACCACAATTCAAAAGCAACTTCATGATGTTCATTAAATTTTTATCTATTATTACTTTTGTCAGTTTCAGCTTATTCCAGTGACGGCTGTTGTTTCCCTTCTCTAATGGGAGGCTATGAACACATCTGAGGACGACTGTATCTACTCCAACTTTACTTTGTCATTCTCTGCGTCCCGTAATGCTTCAGTGACCACAGCGCCCTCTCCTGGTTGCACACTGGAACTCACTGGTTACCCAAGAATCAGTTCACAGGCGTTTTTAGCTGACGCTGAATTTGTGTTTTTTTTTTCTAATTATGAGACGAGCACAACTTCAAAACCCTCCTCTTGTACGTCATGTTTAAAGTTCAGTCCCTGTTTTTTTTTGAGGGGGGGGGAAACGTGCAGCATCCTTGATTGAAGTGTACACGAGTTTCAAAGAATACGCCTTGGGTAACAGTAGAAATTAGTTTTATTTTTAATACAGAAAAAGGAGAAGATCAAAGCGGCTGATGCTGGCATCCAGACGGACCAGCCCTCCCCCTAACAAAAAAAAAAAAAAAATGAAAAATCACCGCTCTGGGTTCGCAGTCGGCTGCCAGCGCAAAAACTGGGGTTTAGGAAGCTTTTATGAGGCCAGGAGGAGGAGGAGCGGGAGAGTTAACGGGGAGCACGAGGTACAACAGATGTTCACCAGATAACAGGTATACATATTTTATTTGTTGTGTCAGGATGCTTCTGTTGCACTTGTTCTTGTCGTCGCTTCCTGATTTGCTTCTACATCCCCTGAATTCATCCCGCACGCTTTTATAATCGGTCTTGTCGTTTTCCGCCTTATTCCATTGTCCTTGATGTGTCGGGAACCGTGACATTTCAGAGTGACATTAAACAGGTCTGACTTTGATCTCTGACTGTTCCGTGTCTTCGCTTCACTACGGGATGATTCATACAAAACAATTTCCTCCTCCTACTCCTCAGGAAGGTCTTTTAGAAGTCACAATAAGGCACTTTGAGATTCATTTATACTCCCAGAATTATTTAAAAAAAAAAAAAAAAAGAACAGGTCAAGTCTGCTTGCCCAAGGTCACGCCGTGACATTTCGAGCACGGCGAATCAGATAAATAGCAGACTTTGATGCTGACAAGTAGGTCTTAACTGGCCTCTTCAGCTCCACTCTTTAATCTGCCACATTTTTTTTTTCCTTTTCCACTCTTCAATTTGACAAACAGGATTTGAAGTGAAGCCTCCCACACAGTAAACAGCCAACAGTGAGCTGCTGCGAGTGGCTGAGGGAGATATTTACCTCCCTATGTGTTCACACATCATGCAATCTCCAGCAGCAGCAGCAGCAGCAGCAGCCCGGTAGTCCGCCGCTCTTCATCCGACGCAGAAATGTCACCAAAGGTAAACAGCGGCCGGCTTTTGTTTCGTTTGAAAGCTAGCACTTACGGCTAGCTAGTGATTTAGCCCAAACTGGAAGTCTGACTGCAGGCCTGATAGATTTGACCCCCCCGCCCCACCTCAACGAAAGCGACAGCCGGGTTCATTTGGCCATGTAAGCGGCTACCTCCTTCTCCAGACTCTGGGCGAAGCGGTGGTTGAGGAAGAGGAGCTGGCCGTGAGGGAGCAGGCGGCTGAGCAGGACGTCGATGCGGCTGCTCTTCAGGAGGACCTGGAGGGAGAAGATGGGCATTTTAGTTTCACTTCCTGCACTTTTAATCTCTCATCTTTGCTCTGTCTAGGTGGTAGCCAAACATGTTGTATCTCGTTTTTTGCAGACAAGTCGAGCCTAACTTGATCCTCCATCATTTTCTTACAGCAAATCCATAAGATATATATAAGATAAGAGCCAACTTTATTAATCCTGAAGGGAATTCTTGTGCCAGATGTTGCTCAGAAAAAAACAAATAACATAAAAAATGTAGTGCTTAAAAGGAAAAATGCATTAAAATGTAAGTACGATACGTAACTGAAATAAAACAAGTGAGCTAAAATAACACGAGAATAGAACAGCAAAAAGTAACGCTGGCAATTATATGGAAGTAATGAGTAATATCACACATGCTAATGACATAATGCACCTAAAAGATTAGATGAAAATCTACAATGCACCCAGAGCTTCCATCATTTGATATGAAAATACCTGCAGGTTGTTTATATTCGCCTTCATATAAAGGAAAATATACGTCATATTACGTGATTAGAGATAAAATAGGATACAGCTTTATTCATCTCAAATGAAATTCTTGTGCCAGGTATTGGTCAGAAAAAAAACTAAATGTAATAAAAACGCAGTAACTACAAGTAGAAAAGCAATTAGATATAAGTACGACACATTACTGAGCTAAAACAAGACCAGAATAGAACAGAAAAAAGTTAAAATGTCAATTTTATGCAAGTAATAAGTCATAACACACATGATAATGAAACAACGCATCTGAAAAATGAGATGAAAAACCACAATCCACTCAGATCTCCCGTCATTTGATATGACACTTGCAGTTTTTCTATATTAGCCTTCATATGAATAAAATCATATGAATTAGGCATGAAATCCAGCAATGTGTTGAGTTCTGACAATACACTAGTTACTATAACAACTATAAACAATGACTATTAGCAACAAATGAGCCTTCAAGCATCAAGCCCTCCTTGTATCTCGACCTCCGTCTTGACAATCCGACAGCCTTGTTATCCGACATAAAAAACGGTTTTACATTTAGTGTCGGATTATCGAGTCACGACTGTACTAGAATCCGTGCTATACTGTTATTTTTTTATACTTAGGGACAAATCTGTGCAATATTAATGCGTCTCTCAGTATTTCCATGCAATACCACTGTTATGTGCAATCCTGTTATTCATAAAAGTATTTTTGTTTTGTATATTTTGGTTTATTTTTTATTTTTGTACGGACATTCCTCAAATGTTTGCTGCTGCAACAAAGCAAATTCCTCCACTGCAGGATGAATAAAGTCTCATCTTATCATCAGAAAGGTTAAGCTCTGCTGTTTGTTTTGATATCCCAGTAAACCACAGGGACTTTGTGACTTATCAAACCAAGAAACAGGAGTTAGTAAAAAAAATATGCCTTTGCAGAAGTTTGATCTGTGTCCAAATCCACTCTGTCTTGAGGTATATTAAAATTTCATTAACATGTTAATATCTATGTACAGATTGTGCATGCACAAATGAGTTCAAGAGTAATTTAAACGCAGATGGATGCACAACTATAACTACGACTAAATGTGACATCAATTCAGGATTTTGTTGCACAAACAAGTAGTTGTTCATCTGCTATGTGCCACATCATGCTGCTGAGGAGAGGGGATGTGAATGTGGACACAACTTATGTCAAAGTGGATCCCAGTTAGCTGCAAATGTTAATAAAACCTGTGCAGCTGTAATCTTTTTCTTTTTTTTTGCTGGTGTCTTTACTACGAGTTCCGCAACAGAAAACCGGAAGCTGCTCTTGAGAGTTTAGTTAGCAAAGCTCAACTGTGCTACTTCTTCATATATTTCAGTCTAATGAGTAGAGACTGACCAATTATCGTGGCCGATATTTGACGTTTCCCTCCATTACTTGCACTGTTTCCTCTACATTCATTTAGGAGTGGCGGGCAGCCATTCTCGTGAGATTACATTACATTGCTCGCGAGAGCACGGCCTTGTAAGTGACATCTCTCCAGCCAGTATGAACAGTCTCTCCATCTGAGCTGCTGAAGCTGGTCACTCCTTCAGAGGAGCCATAGGAGTCTTGGTGGCCTCCCTCACTAGTCTCCTTCCTGTACCTCTTTCATTTTACAAAACAGGAAAACTTCTTTACAGTTTCTGAGCAACTTCTGTCCCAAATCCCAAAATTACAGTTAAAAAACAAAACGAAACAAAGAAACGTTACTTTTTTTTTTTTGTGACATTGTAGAGACACATTAATGGAAATACAACGAGATGGACCAAAAAACAATCACCTTTTAATATGAAATCATCTTAATAAACCAACTAATCACAGACTAATCTCAGACTAACCATCTCAGTCAAAAAACAAAATCTGCAAAATAACATTTTTAAACCTTATTTGCCATTCTTCAATCCTTAACATCCAAAATATTTCTTTCAATTACCAGCAAATGTGTTGCTGATTTAAAGGTAGTAAAAAAAAATCTGTCTAATTTCACAGTGATATGTTCAAAAAAAATTGCCAGTCATGTGGCGGCCCTCAAAATCACATTTGTTTCAGGCAAAAAAGGAAGTACGGTAGTCACAGTGGTTCCAAATTATATCTAATTTTAAAAATTGGGAAAATACACTTAAAACTTTTAAAGATTTTCACAACAAACGTTCGTAGAAATACAATGAGATGAAAAATCAAACAAGACAAAACCATCTTTTTACATAAAATCATCTTATTCTACATTATTTACTTTTTTTGGTTTATACGTAAATGATAACTTTTTACTGTGATTTTACTAAAACCTGTTAAACAATTAATCCTGAATATACAGAACTTTGCTTTCAAATAACATCAAATATCAGCAAAACATTTTTTTTTTTTTTTTTTAATGCAGTCAAACCTGACAAAAGAACAAATGACTTGATGTGGACATTATTTAAAGTTTTGGACTTTCTTTTTTTTTTTTTACAGTTAACATGTAAATGAAAACTTTCTTTCTGTGCTCTAAGTAGATATGATCAAAAAAAAAAAAAAGACAGATAAAAACCAACCGTGGTGTTGTACAGTGTACAATGAGACTGAATCAGCTGGAAACTCAAACATTTTAACCAGCTGCTCTTTAAAGACTTCAGTCTATTCAGGTTTGATGAACTCTGAAGTGGATCCAGAACCATGATAAAGCCAAACTCCAGCATGTAGCGGCTGAGTGAATGAGGTCTGGACTCTGTGGAGGAGAGTCATGGTGTCAGAGACGCTGTAGAAGGACAGAACACCTGCTCTGTGATCCAGGTAAACTCCTACTCTGGAGGAAGGACGAACTGAGACACGAATTTTAGTGTTGCTGTGCCGAAATACACAACATTTGGTTTCACAATATAAAGACCAGGATTTGGCATTGTGTCCAAATTTACATTCATCTGACCACCCTGTTCTGCTGATGTTCTTGTATGAAACTGCTACATAAACTCCTACTCCTCTCCACTCCACCTCCCAGTAACAACGTCCAGTCAGACTCTCTTTACTCAGAACCTGCCACCAGTCAGTGAATCTGTCTGGATGATCAGGATACGACTGTTGTTGATCCATAAATGTCACTTTTCTGTTCCCATCAGATAATAACAGACATCTGTTTGCTGTGTTTGGATCCAGAGTGATTTCTCGTGAATACTTTAAGAATTCAGCTCTGGTCGTTGGTTCTGGTTCTGGTAGTAAAACATCCACGTCAGTGATGGCCAGTGAGATGTTTGTCCATGCGTCCCTCAGAACGTCCTGTAGTTGATCTCTGCTCTTCTTCACAGCTGCTGTCACGTCCTCAAAGTGTCTCCGAGGACGGATGCTGATGCTGGATGAGTGTGTGGACTCACTGAGTGCTGACACTGAGGGGTAGTCGTGGAGGAACCGGCTGTGATCTGGTGTCTCTAAGAGCTGCTTCCGCTCAGCATCTTTCCTCTTCAGATCATTGATCTCCTGCTGCAGCTTCTCCTCCAGCTCTTGGACTCGACTCACTTCAGCCTCCTGCTGGGATCTGATCTGCTGCTTCACCTCAGACCTTCTCTTCTGGATCAGACGGATCATCTGGCTGAACATCTCCTCACTGTCCTCCACTGTTTTATCAGCAGAGACATTGATGGCCTCCAGCTCCTGTTGAAGCAGCTTCACATCTTTCTCTCTGTCCTGGATTCTCTGATGGATGTTCAGTCGACTCTCCTCCAACTCTTTCTGTTTCTGCTTCCTTTCTGCTGCAGCTGACACTGTGTCGTGGCCTTTATGTTCATCCACAGAGCAGAGATAACAGATCAGCTGCTGATCAGTGCGACAGAACATCTTCATCACCTTATCATGATGAGAGCAGATGTTCTCCTGGAGGTTCTTGGAGGGCTCCACCAGCTGGTGTTTCTTTAATTGAGCAACATCATAGTGAGGCTGAAGGTGGTTGTCACAGTAGGAGACCAGACAGACCAGACAGGACTTGACAGCCTTCCTCTTCCTCCCAGTGCAGACATCACAGGCCACATCTTCAGCTCCAGCATAGCAGTGATCAGCAGCAGCAGCTTGGAGTCCAGTCTTCTTCAGCTGCTCCACTAACTCTGCTAGCAGGACGTTTTTCTCCAGGACAGG